CAGAAATACAAAAGATCATAAGAGATTACTACAAGCAACTCTATGCCAATAAAATGGACAATCTGGAAGAAATGGACAAATTCTTAGACATGCACAACCTGCCAAGACTGAATCAGGTAGAAATAGAAAATATGAACAGACCAATCACAAGCACTGAAATTGAAACTGTCATTAAAAATCTTCCAAAAAACAAAAGCCCAGGACAAGATGGCTTCACAGGCAAATTCTATCAAACATTTAGAGGAGCTAAAACCTATCCTTTTCAAACTCTTCCAACATTTAGCAGAGGGAGGAACACTCCCAAACTTATTCTACGAGGCCACCATCACCCTGATACCAAAACCAGACAAGGATGTCACAAAGAAAGAAAACTACAGGCCAATATCACTGATGAACATAGATGCAAAAATCCTCAACAAAACACTAGCAAACAGAATCCTACAGCACATTAGAAGGATCATACACCATGATCAAGTGGGGTTTATTCCAGGAATGCAAGGATTCTTCAATATACGCAAATCAATCAATGTGATACACCATATTAACAAATTGAAGGAGAAAAACCATATGGTCATCTCAATAGATGCAGAGAAAGCTTTTGACAAAATTCAACATCCATTTATGATAAAAACCCTGCAGAAAGTAAGCATAGAGGGAACTTTCCTCAACATAATAGAGGCCATATATGAGAAACCCACAGGAAACATTGTCCTCATTGGTGAAAAACTGAAAGCATTTCCACTAAGATCAGGAACAAGACTAGGTTGTCCCTCTCACCACTCTTATTCAACATAGTTTTGGAAGTTTTAGCCACAGCAATCAGAGAAGAAAAGGAAATAAAAGGAATCCAAATCAGAAAAGAAGAAGTAAAACTGTCACTGTTTGCAGATGACATGATACTATACATAGAGAATCCTAAAGATGCTACGAGAAAACTACTAGAGCTAATCAATGAATTTGGTAAAGTAGCAGGATACAAAATTAATGTACAGAAATCTCTGGCATTCCTATACACTAATGATGAAAAATCTGAAAGTGAAATCAAGAAAACACTCCCATTTACCATTGCAACAAAAAGAATAAAATAGCTAGGAATAAACCTACCTAAGGAGACAAAAGACCTCTATGCAAAAAATTACAAGACACTGATGAAAGAAATTAAAGATGATACAAATAGATGGAGAGATATACCATGTTCTTGGATTGGAAGAATCAACATTGTGAAAACGACTCTACTACCCAAAGCAATCTACAGATTCAATGCAATCCCTATCAAACTACCACTGGCATTTTTCACAGAACTAGAACAAAAAATTTCACAATTTGTATGGAAACACAAAAGGCCCCGAATAGCCAAAGCAATCTTGAGAACGAAAAACGGAGCTGGAGGAATCAGGCTCCCTGACTTCAGACTATACTACAAAGCTACAGTATTCAAGAGAGTATGGTACTGGCACAAAAACAGAAAGATAGATCAATGGAACAGGATAGAAAGCCCAGAGATAAACCCATGCACATATGGTCACCTTATCTTTGATAAAGGAGGCAGGAAAGTACAGTGGAGAAAGGACAGCCTCTTCAATAAGTGGTGCTGGGAAAACTGTACAGGTACATGTAAAAGTATGAGATTAGATCACTCCCTAACACCATACACAAAAATAAGCTCAAAATGGATTAAAGACCTAAATGTAAGGCCAGAAACTATCAAACTCTTTGAGGAAAACAGAGGCAGAACACTCTATGACATAAATCACAGCAAGGTTCTTTTTGACCCACCTCCTAGAGAAATGGAAATAAAAACAAAAATAAACAAATGGGACCTAATGAAACTTCAAAGCTTTTGCACAGCAAAGGAAACCATAAACAACACCAAAAGACAGTCCTCAGAATGGGAGAAAATATTTGCAAATGAAGCAACTGACAAGGGATTAATCTCCAAAATTTAGAAGCAGCTCATGCAGCTCAATAAGAAAAAAACAAGCAACCCAATCCAAAAATGGGCAGAAGACCTAAATAGACATTTCCCCAAAGAAGATATACAGACTCCCAACAAACACATGAAAGAATGCTCAACATCATTAATCATTAGAGAAATGCAAATCAAAACTACAATGAGATATCATCTCACACCGGTCAGAATGGCCATCATCAAAAAATCTAGAAACAATAAATGCTGGAGAGGGTGTGCACTGCTGGTGGGAATGTGAATTGGTACAGCCACTATGGAGAACAGTATGGAGGTTCCTTAAAAAACTACAAATAGAACTACCATATGACCCAGCAATCCCACTACTGGGCATATACCCTGAGAAAACCATAATTCAAAAAGAGTCATGTACCAAAATGTTCATTGCAGCTCTATTTACAATAGCCAGGAGATGGAAACAGCCTAAGTGTCCATCATCGGATGAATGGATAAAGAAGATGTGGCAAATATATACAATGGAATATTACTCAGCCATAAAAAGAAACGAAATTGAGATATTTGTAATGAGGTGGATGGACCTAGAGTCTGTCATACAGAGTGAAGTAAGTCGGAAAGAGAAAGACAAATGCAGTATGGTAACACATATATATGGAATTTAAGAAAAAAAAATGTCATGAAGAACCTAGGGGTAAGACAGTAATAAAAACACAGACCTACTAGAAAATGGACTTGAGGATATGGGGAGGGGGAAAGGTCAGCTGTGACAAAATGAGGGAGTGGCATGGACATATATACACTACCAAACGTAAAATAGATAGCTAGTGGGAAGCAGCCGCATAGCACAGGGAGATCAGCTCAGTGCTTTGTGACCACCTAGAGGGGTGGGATAGGGAGGGTGGGAGGGAGGGAGATGCAAGAGGGAAGAGATATGGGAACTTATGTATATGTATAACTGATTCACTTTGTTATACAGCAGAAACTAACACACCATTGTAAAGCAATTATACTCCAATAAAGATGTAAAAAAAAGAGTGAAGCCACAAAGCATAAGACCTGTTTAATAATCACTGACTACAACTTGTGACTCTGAAAGAGAGGAGTTGAAATATGGTTGGAATCAGACTCTGGAGAGGTTTTCTATGTTTTGTTAAGGAATCTGTACTTAACTGAGTAAGTGGGCCCATGCAGTTCAAACTGGCATTGTTCAACGGTCAAACATATGTCAAAAATTTAAATGCACATACTTTTTGATTTCACAATTTTATTAGGAAATTATTAGGTTAATTTTTGAACCTATATGCATTGATTATGGGAAATGATATTCATTGCAAATTCTGAATTCTCCAAAGTTCCCTATCTAAATTATCACAGCTTGCTACACACAATATATATAGTTGTTCCAAAATTTCTTTTCATAGCCTTGACAATGAAATTAGATCTTCTGATGTTAATGGCATTACCATCCTCAGACTGGATATTCCTATCATAAATATTTCCATCTTCCTTGTTTCATGAAATCAACTGTCGAAACTCTGTCAGGTTTGCTTCCACTATAACCCCACTATCCTCACCTCTATAGTTCCAAGGCATTGCACGATTTTTAGATCTTTCCCCTAGATTATTAAAGTGTCCCAGTTAGATTCTTACATCATCTTTTATCTCACCTAGTTATCCACTTTCATCAAAGTTACCCTCTGAAATAACAAATTATATCATATCACTCTCCTAAAAATATGCCCCAGAAGAAAGTCTCAAGTTCTGGCATTCAAAGTGTTCTTCATTCTGACCTATAGTCTCCCCTTAACCACAGCCTTCCAGGTAGCTAATGCTACAGCCCAGCCAGCCCTGCTACTGCCCTGACCAAACATTCCTCTATCACAGTGGACAATTTCCTACCCCTTAGCATTACACATCATAGCAACCCTGAGGGGAATCCCCACTTCTACCTATTTTCAATTTTCTAAATTCTACTCACTCTTTGTAGCTCAACACAAATGCTACCTTCTCTGCGGTATCATTCTAAATTAGAAATTGCTTCTCTTCGAAACTTCCAAACTACTTTATCCCTCTATATAGCATTCATTTCAATTTGCCTTATATTATAGATATACATATATGTATATATATAGAATCATTAACAAATTTTTAAAATATTTTCCACACATGAGAAAGTGTTGACATAAAATACAAAGACTGAAAAATAAATCTTAAAATTCTTTAAGCACCTTAGAAAAACACACAAAAAAGGCTATAAATGTACTAGAAGATCTATTTAATTAATAAAAAAACATTAACCAGATAGTTGCTACTGTAAAAACATCAAGTTGACAAATAATAAGAGAGAGAGAAAGAAAAAAAGAGAAGGAAAGAGAGAAGGAAGGAGGGAAGTAGGAAAGAAGTGAGGGAGGGAGGGAAGGGAGGGAGGGAAGGAAGGAAGGAAGGAAGGAGGGAGGGAGGAAGGAAGGAAGGAAGAAAGGTCCAGTTATTTTTGTATCTTCCTCCCAAGCACAGTGTTTTATACAGAGCAGGCATTTAATAAGTATTTTAAAACATGAATTAATAATGGCTCACATTTTCTTCATATTTTTCCTTAGATCCATACATTTTTATAAAACTAGTTTGAATTTTTAAATATGAACTTCTTGGAATACATGATCATTTTATTTTTTAATTGAAGTATAATTACTGTACAATATTACATACGTTACAGGTGTACAATACAGTGATTCACAATTTTCAAAGGTTAGGCTCCATTTATAGTTATTATAAAATATTTGGCTATATTCCTCATGTTGTAGCCTATTTTATACCTAATAGTTTGCACCTCTTACTCCCCTCTCCCTTTCCCTCTCCCCACTGGTAACTACCAATTTGTTCTCTATATCTGTGAGTTTGATTCTTTTTTGTTATATTCACTAATTTGTTGTACTTTTTAGATTCCACACATAAGTGATTACATGATCATTTTAAATTCAATGGATGTTTTTCAGAGGGTTGAAGGTAGCCCAGTGTCTACTTTTCCTACCCCCACCAAAACAAAAAACTAAATAAAGCAAAAAAGACTTAATGTTACCTTTTCAACATCGGAGAGAGAAGTTAGTGATTGATTTTGAAGAACCTCTGGTGCAGTGAATGCTCGAAGATCCTGACTGGAAATATTTTCATCTGTAAATGACACGCTACCAGATGGCAGCAATAGCAGAGACCATGGAGAAATGATGAAGCCAAGGGCAGCAGGATCAGCTATGCTTACTGGTTTGTAACCATACAGAATGAAAAGAAAAAAGAAAGATAAATGCTTAAAATTAAGTGATTACAGATCACATAAATGAATACCCCAGCATATTCATATATATGTGCAGTTACATACACCAAATCAACATGCTACAAAATGAGAGTGGGTTTCATACACCTAATACTGCTAGCATTATTAACAACAATGCCTTGATTTGGCTTAGTTTCAAACTTAGACTAGATGGCAGATCTTAGAAACTAGAAATAGAGAACTTTCATTGTCAGTCATGAGACTATACTTGGTTCAAATACTTATCACAGTGATAAAGAGATATGAATAAGAATCAACAGTTCTTACATTTTGTTGGGTGGAGGGTGGTTCATGGATTCCTTTGAGGATTTGGTAAAAACTATGGTTGAGAGATCATTTCAAGAAAACTGCCCATAAATATAAAACCCTGTAAACAAAAGGTGTTTGGGGACTTCCCTGGTGGTGCAGTGGTAAAGAATCTGCCTGCCAATGCAGGGGACATGGGTTCGAGCCCTGGTCCGGGAATATCCCACATACCATGGAGCAACTAAGCCACAACTACTGAGCCTGCACTCTAGGGCCTGCAAGCCACAACTACTGAGCCCGTGTGCCCAGAGCCCATGCTCCACAACAGTAGAAGCCACTGCAATGAGAAGCCCGTGCACCGCAACGAAGAGTAGCCCCCACTCGCCGCAACTAGAGAAAGCCCGCGTGCAGCAACGAAGACCCAAGGCAGCCATAAATAAATAAATAAACAAATATATATATATATATATATATATATATAGGTGTTCATGGATCTCCTTAGAGCCTGTTTATGGACCCCAGGTTAACATTCTCTGATTTAGACTACAGTGTTCTGAAACTGATAGAAAATAATTCCTTTGAAAATTCATCAGATTTAGAATTAGTTTCCAACTACAATGAAAATCTCCTTTTTTTTTTTAAAAGAAGATGTTGGGGGTAGGAGTTTGTTAATTAATTAATTTATTTTTGCTGTGTTGGGTCTTCGTTTCTGTGTGAGGGCTTTCTCTAGTTGTGGCAAGCGGGGGCCACTCTTCATCGTGGTGCACGGACCTCTCACTATCGCGGCCTCTCTTCTGCGGAGCACAGGCTCCAGACGTGCAGACTCAGTAGTTGTGGCTCATGGGCCTAGTTGCTCCACGGCATGTGGGATCCTCCCAGACCAGGGCTCGAACCCGTGTCCCCTGCATTCGCAGGCAGACTCTCAACCACTGCGCCACCAGGGAAGCCCGAAAGTCTCCTTTTTGCATCAAGATATATATAGTCTTGTATGCATTTATTCATTATTTCAGTAGAATTTCAGGCAGCTCTGTGCTACCAAATGTGATCAATGTGGGCTCTAATTTTGCTATGTTTTGATGTTTGTCTTTATGGGTGCCTAAGAGCTCAGTTTAAGAGTATTAAAAAAAAAGTCCTTAGATTTCAGCATGCCTCCTCTAAAAGTAAAGCTATACATTGGGCTCAACAATACAGACTTATTAGAAGGAATATTATTTGACCTCCCATTTCAAAAGGAAATTAAATAGGTTTGAAGGTAAATGTTAAATAAAACTGAGTTACAGATGCAAGAAATCTCTATAGGAAGGTCACAGAAGGCCGTTGCCCACCAATGCCATGCTTATTCAATCTGAATGTGTTACACTGCTCTCTAAGTCAAATCGTAAGAAACTGACAGAAGTCTATAGAATAGTTTATCAAACATACAGTATCTATGCTTTCCTAAAAACAACTTTCATTAGAAGTGAATCATCCATCCTTTCTGACTTTTTAACCTCTACCTATGGTCAAGATTCTGATCATCAGAATTTGACTTACACTGATAAAAAAGTAAACTATTAAAATTCATTTCTCCTTTGAAGAGTAAAAAGCCAACTGTACGTCCTCCTGTATTCTTATGAATTTGAAACATGTCTCTAACAACTGTGTCAAGGAAGAAAAATGTGTTTGAATGCACCTTTAATCAGTCAGCATATCTTATGTGGCCCTGAGGCCGAGTTACAGACTAGTGGTCCTCACATTCCTACTCAACCACGCATCAGGTTGCTAAGAACATGACTCAGAATTCTCATGGCAAAATATGTTTCAATGAATCATCATAGCTGTTAAGCTTAGGTATACTATTGCCTTTCACAGCCACTTTACACACTTTTACTTGAGATTTTTCTTGTTTCTTGAGGTAGGATTTTATTGCTATAAACTTCCCTCTAGGTTTGGGTCATTGTGTTTTCATTGTCATTTGTTTCTAGGTATTTTTTAATTTCCTCTTTGATTTCTTCAGTGATCTCTTGGTTACTGAGTAGTGTATTGTTTAGCCTCCATGTGTTTGTAGTTTTTAGTTTTTTTCCTGTAATTGATATCTACTCTCATAGCGCTGTGGTCAGAAAAGATACATGGTACGATTTCAATTTTTTAAAATTTACCAAGGCTTGATTTGTGACCCAAGATATGATCTATCCTGGAGAATGTTTCATAAGCACTTGAGAAAAAAGTATATTCTGTTGTTTTTGGATGGAATGTCCTATAAATATCCATTAAGTCCATCTTGTTTAATGTGTCATTTAAAGCTTGTATTTCCTTACTTATTTTCATTTTGGATGATCTGTCCACTGGTGAAAGTGGGGTGTTAAAGTCCCCTACTATGATTGTGTTACTGTCGATTTCCCCTTTTATGGCTGTTAGCATTTGCCTTATGTTTTGAGGTGCTCCTGTGTTGAGTGCATAAATATTTACAATTGTTGTATCTTCTTCTTGGATTGATCCCTTGATCATTATGTAGTGTCCTTCTTTGTCTCTTGTAATAGTCTTTATTTTAAAATCTATTTTGTCTGATATGAGAATTGCTACTCCAGCTTTCTTTTGATTTCCATTTGCATGGAATATCTTTTTCAATCCCCTCACTTTCATACGGTATGTGTCCCTAGGTCTCAAGTGGGTCTCTTGTAGACACCATATACATGGGTCTTGTGTTTGTATCCATTCAGCCCGTCTATATCATTTGGTTGGAGCATTTAATCCATTTACATTTAAGGTAATTATCAATATGTATGCTCCTATTACCATTTTCTTAATTGTTTCAGGATTGTTTTTGTAGGTCTTTTCCTTCTCGTGTGTTTCCTGCCTAGAGAAGTTCCTTTAACATTTGTTGTAAAGCTGGCTTGGTGGTGCTGAATTCTCTTAGATTTTGCTTGTCTGTAAAGGTTTTAATTTCTCTGTCAAATCTGAATGAGATCCTTGCTGGGTAGAGTAATCTTGGTTGTAGGTTTTTCTCCTTCATCACTTTAAATATGTCCTGCCAGTCCCTTCTGGCTTGCAGAGTTTCTGCAGAAAGATCAGCTGTTAAAACTTACGGGGATTCCCTTGTATGTTATTGTTGCTTTTCCCTTGCTGCTTTTAATATTTTTTCTTTGCATTTAATTTTTGATAGTTTGATTAATATGTGTCTTGGCGTGCTTCTCCTTGGATTTATCCTGTATGGGACTCTCTGTGCTTCCTGGACTTGATTTACTATCTCCTTTCCCATATTAGGGAAGTTTTCAACTATAATCTCTTCAAATATTTTCTCAGTCCCTTTCTTTTTCTCTTCTTCTTCTGGAACCCCAATAATTCGAACGTTGGTGCATTTATTGCTGCCCCAGAGGTCTCTGAGACTGCCCTCAATTCTTTTCATTCTTCTTTCTTTATTCTGCTCTGCAGTAGTTATTTCCACTATTTTATCTTCAAGCTCACTTATCCATTCTTCTGCCTCAGTTATTCTGTTACTGATTCCTTCTAGAGAATTTTTAATTTCATTTATTGTGTTGTTCATCATTGTCTGTTTGCTCTTTAGCTCTTCTGGGTCCTTGTTAAACCTTTCTTGTATTTTCTGCATTCCATTTCTAAGATTTTGGATCATCTTTACTATCATTACTCTGAATTCTTTTTCAGGTAGACTGCCTATTTCCTCTTCATTAGTTTGGTCTGGTGGGTTTTTACCTTGCTCCTTCATCTGCTGCGTATTTCTCTGTCTTCTCATTTTGCTTAACTTACTGTGTTTGGGGTCTCCTTTTCGCAGGCTGCAGGTTTGTAGTTCCTGTTGTTTTTGGTGTCTTCCTCCAGTGGGTGAGGTTGGTTCAGTGGGTTGTGTAAGCATCCTGGTGGAGGGGACTGGTGCCTGTGTTCTGGTGGATGAGGCTGGATCCTGTCTTTCTGGTGGGCAGAACCACATCCAGTGGTGTGTTTTGGGGTGTCTGTGACCTTATTATGATTTTAGGCAGCCTCTCTGCTAATAGGTAGGGTTATGTTCCTGTCTTGCTAGTTGTTTGGCATGGGATGTCCAGCACTGGAGCTTGCTGGTCATTGACTGCAGCTGGGTCTTAGCGTTGAGATGGAGATCTCTGGGAGAGCTCTCACCAACCGATATTACATGGGGCCTGGAGGTCTCTGGTAGTCCAACGTCCTGAATTCGGCTCTCCTACCTCAGAGGCTCAGTCCTGACACCAGCACCGGAGCACCCTGTCAGCCTCACAGCCAGGTACGTGGGGATTTTCTTGCCTTTTGGGAAGTCTGAGGTCTTCTGCCAGCATTCAGTAGATGTTCTGTAGGAGTTGTTCTACATGCAGATATATTTTTGATGTATTTGTGGGGAGGAAGGTGATCTCCACATCTTATTCCTCCGCCATCTTGAAGATCCTCCCCCGCACTGTCTTTTAAAAGCTTCTTCTTGGGTATCTCATGCACAAATACCACAGAATCGGGGCTTCCCTGGTGGCGCAGTGGTTACGAATCCACCTGCCAATGCAGGGGACACAGGTTCGAGCCCTGGTCCGGGAATATCCCACATGCTGTGGAGCAATGAAGCCCATGCGCCACAACTACTGAGCCTGTGCTCTAGAGCCTGCAGGCCACTACTACTAAAGCCCATACACCTAGAGCCTGTGCTCTGCAACAAGAGAAGCCACTGCAATGAGAAGCCCATGCACTGCAA